ATTTTCAAAAAGGTTCTATGTTGAACTATATACAACACATTCTCCATCAGTCTGAGGAACTGAGTATGAATTTAAAATCATATAAGACGATAACACAGATTAAAAAGATAAACAACAAAGAGTCGAAGAGTTTTAGTGAAGCGCCGAGTAAAGAGCTGCGTTTGTTTATTGCGATGTTTTTTTGAAAGTGAGCTCTGAGCTTGATTGTCTAATAAAAGCTGAACTGAGCTCCACAGTTTAGAAGCAAAATAACAAAGAGTCTCTCCATGTTTCTGTATTTTATGGAAGGCGTTTGCAGAAGGTCAGTATCTGCAGATGTAAGATCATAAACAGACAGACATCCAGGAGCTTTAAGGTCATTTAGAGCTTTAAAAACCAGCAGCAGAGCTTTAAACTCTCTCCTAAAAGATCCAGACAGTCAGTGCAGTGTGTAAATGGGGGTGATATAAGCTCTCTGTGTTGGTGTTGTAAGGATCCGTGCTGCTGTGTTCTGTAAGAGTTGTAGAGGATGGATTGTTTTCTCCAGTGAGAAGAGCATTACAGTGATCAAATGCAGCAACAAGTTTCTCTGCATCGCTCTGAGAGAGAAAAGACCAAACTTTAGTGATATTTCTCTCATGATAAAAAGCTACTTTAGTGACTGTGTTTACATGCAGGATAGAACAGAGCTCAGAGTCTAAGATCACACCCAGGTTTTCTTACTTCAGGTATATAATGCTAAAGAACGTAACTCCTCACAAAGCTTCTCGCTGATGTCTAGCATGATGAGTGATGCTAAACGCTTTATTTTGTTCAGTTTATACAAGTAGAGTGTAAAAATGAACCTGGCATTTATTGTCATTCCTTACCAGCGTTATATGTATCCCATGTGTTAAACACAGGGCCCGTGGGCCAAGTCAGGCCTGTGGCACAATCCTATTTGGCCTGCAAAATTATTTTAATTTTCTATGAATACTATCCCATTTCACCATGAACTGCACTACAGTTCCCAGCATGCAGTGCAACATAATATGTGCTCCCACCCAGAGCCAGTTTATGAGGAGCCTGGCCACTTCCTGTTACCCCGTTATATCAAAAATATGACTGCAAAATGCCAGAGGGCATCCGTGAGCTAGTCCTAATGAATGGGAGTAAAGGGAGCTAAAGAACTTAAATTTTAGAAACTAAAAAGAAAACTCACCTGTATGTTTAATTTTTCACAACAAATGGGTTTTGGGCAGCAGGATGCTAAGGTTACTGCTACTGAGTCCTGATTGGACAGTTTTACTGCTACTGAGTGCTGATTGGTTAGCATTACTGCTACTGAGTGCTGATTAGTCGGTGAGAGGTGCAGCTCATTGGCTGTTCGTGCTCACTGACGTCATGAACATACATGTCGTTTTAAACTCATATACCTCGAGTTTAAAAGCTCTTAAAAATATACCAGCAGTGTTAAAATGTTTTGCTGTTCTGTGTTCAGGAAATGAACGTATTCTTTTTTAACATGGCCCTTTTAGTGGTGTATATAATGCTGGCAGTACATCCAGTGTGCTGTGGCCTTCACTGTGGAACATTTACATCAGCTGCTAGCCCCCTCTTCCACACACACACACACACACACACAGACACACACACCCACACACACGCACACAAACTGTGTAAATATTGTCATTAAAACAATGCTGTTAACTCCCCCCACGCCCCCCCCACCACACACATACAGACACACACACACATGTAGGCAAGCTTGTCCATTAGCATCCAGGCTGATTGGGTGAACGATGCCGCTTGTGTTTTCGTCTGAACTCGTCTTCATTAAACCGACGCTGAGCTGTCGCTTTCGTTCATGCCTCACTGCCACCTTCTCCCCGAGGTAACCGTGGCAACGCTGACCTCTGACCCCTCTAGACGAGAGAACACAAGATAGGTCCGTGGCAGCAAGCGTGAATCTTTTAAGCACTGTCAACACTGCTCAGCGTACGAGCTGCAATTACAGGTGAAGGTGCGCGGCCCCCTCGGAGATTAGTCCAGCCCACCAACGCAGACGTCCTGCTGGAGTCCTGCATTATTTAACATGGCAGGATGAAGAAGAGAACAGGACTTTACATACTGGAAACTTTGAAAATGCAGTTTTCTCCTTTACAAAACATGTTCAGTGTCTGAAGTTTGCTTCTTAACTGGAATTGCATGGCTAAGAAGCAGTGTAAGCTTTTACCCCACCGATTAGCATGGTGCTAACTGCAACACACTTGCTTCAAAGCATGTGGACATTTTTAGTATCTCTAGTTTGCTTGTAAGTTTGCTTCTTCAGTTTTAATACTGGAACTGCAAGGCTAACAAGTTAACAAGAAGTGTGAGCTTATGCCCCACCGATTAGCATGGTGCTAACAGTAACACACTTGCTTCAAAATGTGTAGAAATGTTTAGTATCTCTATTTTGCTTCTAAGTTTGCTTCTTAAGTTTTAATACTGGAACTACAAGGCTAACAAGCAGTGTAAGCTTATGCCCCACCAGTTAGCATGGTGCTAACTATAACACACTTCAAAACAAGTAGTTGTTTAGTATCTCTATTCTGCTTCTAAGTTTGCTTCATAAAGTTTTAATACTGGAACTATAAGGCTAACAAGCTAACAAGCAGTGAAAGCTTTTACCCCACCAATTAGCATGGTCCTAACTGCAACATACTTGCCTTAAAGCATGTGGATTTGTTTAATAACATCTAACAGACTTGATTATATGGTTTTTGACACACTGTTATGTATAAATACGGACTGAAGTATGTTAGCATAAGGTTAAAAATAGCAGCTGTAGCATCTTTAAGCCTGATTTTTTAACCTAACCCTTTAGGATTTTTAAGGGTAAAATAATTTGCATAATTATAAACTATTGCTTTGAACAAACAGTACCCAGCTGGACAAAGAACCCTTGAAGAGCGTCTTTTTTAAGAGTATACATAGTGTTGCTTTAAATAGCTTTAAATACAATTCTCTCAGGTGCCTAAAACATTACCGTATGTACTGCACATGAGAGTGGCATCAGTAATTTGGTGGGTTCCTCTCTGTATCTGTCCTGGTGGTCTCTGTCGTGTTGATATCCATTACACTGAGATGTCTGTGGCTGTGATTAGTGGCTGTGATTAGTGGCTGTGATTAGTGGCGGGTATCTAGAAGGTCTGTGGTAGTTTGGTTAGTTGGAATAAAATGACCAGCTTGTTGAAGTATGATGTCCGTTCATCTATTATGATTCCACTGTGGTCCAAGTGTTGCAGCGAGCTGGACTGGAGGCTGTGTTCTCCACAGAATTCCCTGCAGAGATCATTTTCTTGGTTGTTGTTGGAAATCTCAGGCACAGACACACAATCAAGAAACAACCCGCTCTATCAGTAATGATATGCTTCCCCTCTGAGGACTATCTCTCTCTCTCACTCTCTCTATTTCTCTCTCTGTTTCTCTTTTCCTCTGATTTGCACTCAGAGCACTTTAGCCCAGGCAAGCTTGGGATAATCATAGGATCATAGCTATAATAACAACTTATTTCACCCCAAGTCTTTTGTTTTGTGAATGTCTTAAATGTCTTAGGGCCAGTAAGACAAACTGAAGACAAACCAATCCCACATTTTCATGTCAAGCCAGTGGTTAAGAAAAGTTATGCTGGCCCAATTTAGTGTAGAAATATCACCATCATTTTACTGCACATTTAAACAATGGTCTAACTATTTAAGTACCTCTACTGTGCCAAAGTGGAAGTGAAAGTTATTTGTTTTTTACTGTTTTCGTTCTTTTCAGGAGACCCACTTTCAGTTCTCAAAGAAATCTGCAGACACAGCTCCAAAGTTCAGTCTTAGAAGTTGGTCGATCATTTTCTGAAGTAATCAAACACATTCAGTGATGTTGAGGTCTGGACTCTGGGGTGGTCAGTCCATTGTTCAGCTTCTTTGTTTGATGTGTCTTTATGCTTTTCTCAGTGAGGCTTCTTAACAGCTACACATCCTTTCAGACTCATAGTGCTGAGTTGTTCTCTCACAGTGGAAGGATGGACAGAAACACCTGTGGATGTTTTCAGACCTGAAGCAGATTGATTTTCTCCTCTCTCTCAAAGATGAAAGCTTTAAGTGCTGTTTAGTGCTGTTTTTTCAGCACTAAACAGCACTGAAAGCTTTCATCTTTGATCATCTTTGGTGTCTACCAGGTCTTCCCGGTGGTTATTCAAATTGATGAAGAATGTTTTGTATATGGTTCTATAAAGCACCTTTTTGAAAGGGGTTCTATATAGCACCAAAAAGGGTTCTGCTGTTGTGACAGTGTCAATGTTGTAACAATAGTAGAATGCTGTTTGGTGCTATATAGAACCCCTTTCAAAAAGGTGCTATATAGAACCATTGTCTTTACTAAAGAACCGTTGAAGAACCATCTTTTCGAAGAGCGTATGCTAATCTACTCAGGAATATCTTCTGAAAAACGAATAATTTGTACTTAATGGATGTTTGTTTAAATAAATGAAGAGGGGTCACTAACTTTTGCACAGCACTGTAGTTAATAATTTACATGTACGTTTTATTTACAATCTGTATCATCAGTTTGTTTATCAGTTTGTTTTGCTGTCAAGTAACATGACAAAATAATTCAGATTTTTTTGACTGTATACAATAACTTTTCATCATGTTCAAATCATAATAAAGTGTTTTCAACTTACAAACACAAATATGATACGAACTGATAGTTTAGAATCTGCACTTTCCACACAGTTTCTTCTTTTCTTTAATTAGCTATACTTCAAAAACTATTCATATAAAATTACACCATGTTTTACACTGCAAAAAAAGGTATCTTTTCAAGTAAAATGATCTTAAATATAGTCAATAAATCTAATATTTCTCCTGTTGAGATTGTTGTAAGCGTCTTGTAAGATTTATGCCTTTATGTATGAATATGTGTTGTATGAATAAACTTGCCTTGCCTTTACTGAAGGTCCAATAAAGAGGCAAGAAAAGCTTAAACTTCCTCTCTCTCTGTCTCTGTAGCCGGTGGATTTTGAGATGAATCGAGCCTTCATGCTGACGGTGGTGGTGTCCAATCAGGCTCCGTTGGCTGAGGGGGTCCAGGCGTCTCTTCAGTACACCGCCGGCGTCACCATCTCAGTGAAGGACGTTAACGAGGCGCCCGTTTTCCCCGATAACCCGAAAATGGTGCGGTTTGAGGAGGGCGTTCCAGCCGGGACCATCATCACCACATTCGCAGCCAAAGACCCTGATACCTTCATGCAGCAGAGCATACGGTAATCACAATACTTACATTTGGAGTCAGTTACTCATTCAGCCTAATGAGAAACTGCAGAACAGATTCAGTTTATATCATTATACCTACATTTAGAGCCAGTTATTCATTCAACCTAATGAAAAACTGTAGAACAGACTCAGTTTGTATCACAGTATCTACATTTAGAGTCAGTTTTTCATTCAACCTAATGAGAAACTGTAGAACATAATTCGTTTACGTTTAACTGTTCTGAGCATTACTGTAAATAAAAGCTTGATTTGGTGAAGGGTCCATTTGTTTTTGGTTTTTGCCCTCCAAGGTACTCTAAAACATGTTTGCCAGCAGCTGTGTATGTAATGTACTACTGCTCTCTGTGTTGACATGGCCAACACTCATAAGGAGCCACTGTTTGGCATCATTTTACCTGCAAGCACTGATATGTTTGCCCAAGAAGCCAGTTGATGTGAAAACAGTGCTGACCACTGACTCAATAATACGGGTCCGTGTGTGTTTTATCATGACCGCAAGGGTCTAGCAGTAAAAATAACGCCGTACATAAAACATCACCAACCCGACCGTCAGACCGACACATAAAAACCCACATACAGTGGCAAAGGATCATTTTTTTCTTTCTTTTGTTGTCAAACACAAAGCCATTTCTTTGATGTAGAGAAAGTAAAACTCTGGGGTGAGCTATAAACCCCAAAACAATCCAAACATAAAAGTTTACTTACTAACCCAAAGAGGAAATAAAGCAAACAAGCAAATATAACTGAACAAACAAGAGAAATAAGAGTTAGAGATGAAATAGGATACCCACACCCGATACGTGGGTTAATATCTAGTATAAAGGAGCACTTGGGTCATTTCTTATTGATAACCAGTAGCATATGACTATAACTCATATAGGCCATCAAGCAGAGACAGGAATCACTTTAGTTTGGTTCAGTTTGATTCAGACTGGTTTAGTTAGTTTTAGTTTGGTTTTGATTTGTTGGGTATAGATTTGTTTGGGGTTGGGTTGGATTTGGTCTGGTTCTGGTTGGTTTGTTCTGTTTGATTTGTTACAGTTTGGTTTAGGTTTTCACTTTGGTTGAGTTTGGTTTAGTCTGGGTTGGGTTTGAGTTATGTTTGGGTTGTGTTTGGGTTGCGTTTAGGTTAGGTTAGGTTGGGGCTGGATTGCATTTATGTTAGGTATGGATTGGGTTTGGGTTGTCTTTGGTTTAGGTTTGAGTTAGGTTTGGATTAGTTTTGGGTTGGGTTTGGATTAGATTTGAGTTGAGTTTGGGTTAGGTTTGGGTTGAGCTTGGGCTGGGTTTGGGTTAGATTTGGGTTGGGTTGGGCTGGGTTTGGGTTAGGTTTGGGTTGAGTTTGGGATGGGTTTGACTAAGGTTAGGGTTGGGATTGGGTTGGGTTTGAGTTAGGTTTGGCTTGGGTTTGAGTTAGGTTTGGGATGGGTTGGGTTGGATTTGGGTTTGGGTTAGATTTGGGTTGAATTTGGTTGGATTTGGGCTGTGTTTGATGTAGGTTTGGGTTGGTTATGGATTGGGTTTGAGTTAGGTTTGTGTTCAGTGTGGGATGGGCTTAACTTAAGTTGGGCTTGGGTTTGGGTTAGGTTTGGGTTGGGCTGTTTTTGTGTTAGGTTAGATTTAGGTTGAGTTTGGGCTGAGTTGGGGTTGGGTTTGAGTTAGGTTTGGGTTGACTTGGGGATGGGTTTGACTTAGGTTTGGTTTGGATTGGTTGGGTTTGGGCCAAGTTGGGGTTGGATTTGAGTTAGGTTTTTGTTGACCTTGGGATGGGTTTGACTTAGGTTTGGGTTGGGTTTGGTTTGGATCGGTTGGGTTTGGGCTGGTTGGATTAGATGGGTTTGATTTGGTCTGGGTCAAGTTGGGATTAATTTGGTTTGATTGGGTTGGGTTTAGTTGGGTTGATAGCAGAGGCACAAGCTAAATAACTCAATACTATTAATAACAGTATCAAATATGTCTGATTTGATTTGGGTTGGATTTGATTGATTGCGTAACCCAAGCAAACCAACCTAATGATACTATTAATAAGAATACTAATGATATTAGTAATTAACAATAGGAAAAGTAGTAGTAAGAAATACTGTTGTGATAAAGTGAATAGCGTACAGTGAATAGTACAGCGCCATCTGCAGGAACCAGTCAGAATACTCCAACCAAAACTCAGAGTAAAAAAGGAGACAGAATTTAGAGAGAGAGAAAGAGGAAAAAGGGCACATGAGGAAGTGCACTGCTAAATCATAAAATGACACTAAAGCTTATAGGAGTGTTGGATGGAACTGAGAGATGAGTCCGCCCCTTTCCTGCTCTCTCTTTCTTGCTCTCGTTTATGATGGGTTTTCCTCTCTCTCTCTCTCTAAGGGAGATGTGTTCTAAACAAATTTACCAGCTAATTTCCCTACTAATGAGAGTAAATTAGGTGTACATTATAATTTAGGAAGATGCTGGAATCACCAGCTGGGCCATTTATCTCTCTCTCTCTCTCCTGCTCTCTCTCTCTCTCTCTCTCTCTCTCTCTCTCTCTCCTTATTTACATGTTTTTCTTTAAAGCAGTTTATTTGAGTGTTTCAGCCAACTACAACATAGCTTTGAGGGTACAATGTTATACTCATGAGAGTCATATGACATAAATAATTCATTCCTCATATTATCCTGGATTTAGCAGTGAAAATAAAAAAATAAAATAAAAGGAGTTTATGGTAATGGAAAATGAAAATAATGGTGGAAAAACTATGGCAACTTGTTCTCTATTTCTTAACAAGTCTCACCAAAGCAGTGATGGAATGGAATGGCTTCTTGTTAATTGCAACCACCAAAAGTTGTTGACCAAATTTGTTGACAAAAAACAACATAAAGTATAAAAAAGAAAGAAATTTAGTTGCAGGTGTATAAGAAAGTATATAAAATGATTCATGCTGGGCTCCCGAATGGCGCAACTGTCTGAGTGTTGGCCCTATCATCAGGAGATCGCGAATTCGATCCCTGGTGATGCTACAGCCATCCGTGGCCAGGAGTCCAAGAGAGCACATTTGGCCTCGCTCTCTGGGTGGGTAGGATGGCCCCGCCTTCTCCCCCCATCACTCAATGCGATGCTAGTCAGCGCAGGCGTCTGTTAGCTGACATAACAGATCTGGCGGTTGGCGTTTTCCTCCGAGTGCGTTAGGCTGTCCAATGACGTTGCGTAAGCGGCAGTTCGAAAATATGCGGTGGCTGGCTTCACAGGTCTCGGAGGAAGCCTGTGTTAGCCTTTGCCCCCTTAGCGTTGATAGTATTGTGTGATTTGGGGAGTCCTAACTAGCGGGTGGAATTGGAGACAACTAAATTGGATAAAGAAAAAAAAAATGATTCATGCTTAACAACTTTACAGGTTTCTGATGATCAGTAGGACACTGTTAGATGTGTCCAGAAAGATACACAGAGCTGTAGAAGATCCTGAAGTGACTGAAAAAGCTGTAGAACATTGAGAAATAAGTGATATTAAAATTATGCATCATAATTCAATAGCACGGTTCAAATCTAAAGGCAAATAATGTAAATACAACCCGAATTCTAAAAAAGTTGGGACGCTGTGTAAAATGTAAATAAATGTAAATAAAAACAGAATGCAATGATTTGCAAATCTCATAGATCCCATATTTTATTCACAATAGAACACAGAACAGATATCAGATGTTGAAAGTGAGACATTTTACCTTTTCACTACTATTTGAAAGAGATGTTGTCTGAATGGGAGCATATGTTGTTCTAAAACCTCTATATACTATTTAGCATTGATAGTGCCTTTCCAGGCGTGTAAGCTGCCCACGCCATAGCCACTATTGCAACCCCACACCATCAGAGATGTAGGCTTTTGAACTGTGCACTGATAACAAGCTGGATGGTCCCTCTCCTCTTGAGTCTGGGGGACAAGGCATCCGTGGTTTCCAAAAAGAATTTAAAATTTTGATTCTTCTGACCACAGAACAGTTTTCCATTTTGCCTCAGTCCATTTTAAAAGAGCTTTGGCCCAGAGAAGACAGCGGCATTTCTGGATTGTGTTGACATATGGCTGCTTCTTTGCACCATACAGCTTTAACTTGCATTTGTGGATTGAAAAAGTGAACTGTGTTCACAGACAATGATTTCTGGAAGTGTTCCTGAGCCCATGCAGTGATTTTCAGTAAAGAATCGTGTCTGTTTCCAATGCTCTGCCACCTGAGGGCCCAAAGATCACAAACATCCAATATTGACCGTTAGCCTTGTCAGGGATTTCTCCAGGTTCTCTGAATCTTTTGATGAAATTATGTATTGTAGATGGTGGGATATCCAAAGTCTTCACAATTTTACATTGAGGAACATTTTTCTGAAATTGTTCCACAATTTTTAGACACAGTTTTTCGCAGATTAGTTAACACCTGTCCATCTTTGCTTCTGAGAGACTCTGCCTCTCTAAAATGCCCTTTTTATAGCCATTCCTGTGAGTTAGTTGCAAATTACTCCTCCAGCTGTTTTTTTAACTACCACTTATTTTTTCAGCCTTTTGTTGCCACTGTCCCAACTTTTTTGAGATGTGTTGCTGCCATCAAGTTCTAAATGAGTTAATATTTGTCATGAAAAGGTAAAATGTCTCACTTTCAACATCTGATATCTGTTCTATGCTCTATTGTGAATAAAATGAAAGCCTATATGTCTGCAAATATTTGCAAATCATTGCATTCGGTTTTTATTAAAATTTATTTACATTTTACAGAGCGTCCCAAATTTTTGGAATTAGGATTGTAGAAAATTACAATAAATTGTAATTTATATTATTATGTTTATAATTTAATAACTTATTGTTCACAAAAATTTTAAAATATTGAATAAAACAGCTAAAAATACATTAAAAAAACTTTAAAAAATAATAACTTTTGATAGGCAGTGTTTGTATAGTGGTGCTTGAAAGTTTGTGAACCCTTTATTTGATGATTCGTCGTGAATTAATAAATGACCAACTCTAATATTTCTGTCTCAT